TCGCAGTTGGGAATGGGTTATAATTGGCTCTTTGATTTTGGTTTGCCTTGCAGCCTAATTTGACTCAAACCCCACCTCTAATTCTAGCATTTCTTTATTTCTCCGCATTTCAGTGTCTCTCTTCTGTCCATTATAGGACCAAATCCATTGAGGCTCGTTTATGTTTGTTTGTTGCAATAATTTTCATTGAAGGTAGTTTTTGTTCCTACCTATTGATGTAAAACTACAATCATACATTCCTAAGTGAAATTTGTTAATTTGCTCCTTTATTTATCTTTTGCTTCTTTATACATCCCAAGTTATTTTCTCAAGTTACTCTAATATTGAAAAATAAACTTACAAAAAAAAAAATTATAACACAAAATAGATCACGTGCAACGCACGTGTGCACCAACTAATATAATATAGAAGTGTAGGTGGAATTATATATAAGTGTATTTGTATAATAACAATATTTTTAGTAAATAAAAAAACAACATTCTTTCAAAACTAAGTAAATCCTTAATAGGATCCACGTGGGAGTTTTCTTTGTTTGGTTTAGCAAGAGAGTTTGACAAAAAGGACCGACTGCTATAATATATAAATTATTACCAAAAATTCTTATGAAAAAATTAATTTTTAGGTCGACAAATAAGTGCTATGACCATGACCACTTTTTATTAATATATATAAATACCAGATAATATTCTCATATTTAAATGAATTATCGTGGTTAAAAAGATAAAATATTAAATCGTAATATAAACAGTCAAATTTAAATAATTTGAATCGTTCTTGTACCTTTTTAACTGAGGAGCTCAAGTAGAAATTTCTATTTTATTATTATAGACTAGCGGCCTATCTCGTAGACTTTGAAAATCGTTTGGCAATAGAGAGAGAGAGAGGCACATTCCTCTAACATATAATAGATGTGTTGTTAATCGAAACAACACCATTTTACATTATTTTGTGTGTAAAAAGGCATTGTTTTGGGAACAATATCCTTTGCTGTCCAGTAGAAGATCTAAACTCGAGAGAGATAGAGTAATTGAAACGAATGCTAAAATTGTAAGGAATATTTATCATATTTTTTCCCTCAAGTCATTTGCCAAATGAAGTTTTCTTCTCGGCCAATTCAAACCAAGATTCTTTTCTCCCCAATGAAGTAATCAACAAATCTAACCAACCAACCAAACCTTCTTTATTCTCAATGAAATTAACGTAATATTCGATTCGAATTTGGGTAACAACTGCTTTAAAATCTAATTAGAATATAAGGTATAGAAGAATGCACATATATATACGTTAACAACATTCTTAGTAAATTACATACCCAAAAAAAAAACTTTCTTACTAAATTAAAAAAAAAAGAAGTAAAAACAACATTCATAGTAAGTCGTTAATAGGATCCACGTTGGGTTTTCTTTGTTTAGTTCAACAAGAAGAGTTAGAGCAAAGGAACCGACTACCATAATATAGACATTATTATTTGCTTTACAAGCAAAAGCAGAAGATATTCTATGCTTCAAAAGTTAGGGATAAATGTGAAATGAATGTTAAAGTTGTGGTTTAACACTTCATTGCATCTTTTTTTTTTTTTTTGGTTAATTATAAAGTAACTAGTTATTTCCCGTGCCGGAAGGTACAGAGTAATTAAAAAAATTATCAACGTATTTATATTCACATCCAAAATCAAATTACAAATATAAAGGAGAGATAAATAATTTAAGCGCTGATTGTAGTGGAAGACGAGCAGTGGTAGTGGTGGTGGGCGACAGTGGTGATAAGAAGAGACGGTGATGGTTGTGGTGGGTAAGGCGACAACCGTAGTGGTGATAGCAGTCGTGGATGACAATGGTGATGGTGGTGGTGAGTTTTGAGTAACAATGATAATAGTAGCAGTCGTGGGTGACAATGGTGATGGTGGTGGTGGTGGTGGGTTTTGAGTAACGATGATGGTAGTGACAATCGTGGGTGACAATGGTGATGGTGGTGGTGGGTTTTGAGCGACGATGATGGTAGCGACAATCGTGAGTGACAATGGTGGTAGTGGTGGTGGACGACGGTGATAGTGGTTGACAGTGATAATGATGAGATGATGATGGTGGTGGTGGGCGACGATGGGTGCTTCTAGGCGATAGTGTGATGTGTGGTGGCGAATGACGACAGTGATAAGTGTGGTGACGGTTGGTGACAATGGGTGGCTGCAGTGCTGGGCGATGACATGTGGTAGTGGTAGGTGTGGTGGGGTAAGTGACAGTGGTTAGTAGCAATGGTGGGCGACGACAAGTAGTGGTGGGTGCTGACAGTGTGCGATGGTGGTAATGGGATGATGGTAGTAATGGTAATAAATGTAAAAATAAGGTGACGATGGTAGTGGGTGATGACCATAGACGACGATGGTAGCAATCAGCGGTGAGTGGCGATGGTGGTGGCAGTGGGGCAGTGAGGGTGGCATGGGGGTGGAGGTGGCGTAATGGCGATGGTGGGGGTAGGGATAGGGGGTGGTTGTGGTGGGTTGGCGATGGTGGTGGTAGTTGTGATAGTCATGGGGGCGGTGAGGGTGAGACAGTAACGGTGGTGGTAAGATGCGATAACGATGATTATTAGGGATGACAGTGGTGGGGTGGTGGAAGTAGTGGTGGTGATGATAGTGGTGGTAGTGGTTATGGTGGTGGGTATGGTAGGGTGACAATAATGATTATGGTAGCGGCGGTGGTGGTGGTGATGACAGTGGTGGTGGTAGTGATGATGGTAGTGAAACAATTTCAAACACTAATTTTTTTTTTTAAAGTACTTATGAGAAATAATTTCTAGTAGTACATTTAAAAAATCATTTCAAACACATCTGTAAGGCCATATTTTTTCTATTAAATTTAGAGTGTTAATATTAGTCGTTATATTAATTTTAAAGTAAAATTTAAAGCGATTTTAATCCCAAATAGCAAAAGTCATTTTGTTTATCTTTTGAGAATTGAATTTTATTTTACTTTATTATATAGATAAGTGTAAAAAATTTATTATTGTATCTTATTATATTTGTGATTAGTAATTATAAATAATTCAAAACAAAACCTTCAATCAAGAATTGGATAAGATATTTACTGATTTGAATTTGAAATCGACTTTAAAAGTCTGATTCGATAATTTGACGGATTATATTTTCATGGTTTATATATGAATCTGTTAATAATCTAAAAGTTTGATCCGAATAACTTAATTTAACTAAAATGTAACAAACTATATCTAAATTTTAATTTTTTTTATCGTAATATATATCTAAATTTTAATTAAATTTATTCAAATAATTACTTAACTTCTTTAATATTTATGCAAAAAATATATAAATATTTTGGATCGGTTTATAATCGAATCAGATATAAGTATATTCAAATCTAAATAAAAATCTGATCCATTGATAGGTGTAGGTGTAAGGAACGTTTATATTATGAGCAATATTATTGAAACCTAATTTACTAACATAATTTGTTAACCTAATTCATTATGATATTTAAATTGATTGTAAGTTTTATCAAACATTAGAACTTGATGTTAATCCAATGATTCTTATAAAGCAACATAATTATGTTAACAAATTAAGTTTAATTTTTAGATCCAAATAATACTATTGTCCTTCTAAGACATGTAGAATGCTACAATACCAACAACTATTTAATATCGTTCCATCATATATAACTTTTAGGATTAATTGCACTGGAAGTCTCCAAAGTATAAGGTTTGTCTTATTTTGATCTCTAATATTTCAATTACATCGTTTTAGTTCCTGAAGTATTGAGTATATTTTTATATGGTCTATCAAATAGACAATGTCTATATTATTAACGATTTTTGATTATAAAGTTGTACATAATATCTAAATATGTGACAAAAAATAATTTAGACAACTCTTGACTAAATTTTTACCCAAATTTTAGTCAAAAAGCTATCCAAATTGTACAGTTTTGACCATCAGTTATCCAAATTTTGATCAAAAGTTACCCATATTATACATTTTTTTGTCAGGAGCTACCCAAATTTTGGTTAAGAGCTACCCAATTTATTTTTTTCCCATATTTAAGTGTCACGTTATAAGTTTATAATAAAAAAACAATTAGCAATTTGGATATTGCCTTATTGAGGGACTACATAGAAACATATTCAATATTTTAGAAACTAAAATGATGCAATTAAAATATTGTGAATTAAAGTGAGACAAACTTTATAGTTTGAGAATTTCTATTACAATTAATCCTAACTTTTAAAGATTTTTTTATAAAATTTTCAAAGATCATTTACACCTTTTGGACTTTTTCCAATCGATCTAAAATATTTGAGATCAATCCTAATATTTTAGAATCCATTCTAAAATTGATTCAAATCCCAAAAATATTATTACTTGACCCAAAAAAAATCTATAACTTATATCATTAAAGTTATAAGTTATAATTTATTTTTTAAAATTGATTCTAAATTCTTAACATTATCGTAACTAAATCCTAAAAACTTATATCATGAGTGACAAAAATTATAAATTTCGATGTTATATCTCGGTTGTAATCAAGTCAAATCCGTAAGTCATTTGTTAATCAAATTTTTTTTTCTAACTCTAAAGATAGTTGATATAGTGATAAGAATGAAGTCTAAATCTAGATATCTTGGATTTAAATCTTAATAATTTTTTAGAGTTAAATCATAAAAGTTTTATTTCTGACAAATATTTTAGTCCCGACATGAAGGACAACGATCGAATGAGCAAACAAGATTAATTGAAATTAATCATAGTACTTATAAATTAATCCACCCAGTCTGTTTAGTAGGATTTTTTCGTACTTTTTAGCCAATAGGGGGAACCATTTTCTTGTCCCTCCAATCAAGTAGAAGTAGTCTGTAAAATCAAACCATCCAAGGAAACATTCTTTATATATAGATTGGCCTCACTTTGTGCTGCTGACTACGCTCAAACGCATCCCAAGTCTCAGCAACACTGATGCAGAGAGAGAGAGAGAGCGCTTAGGGCGTCGATGGGGTCATCTGAGAGCACGAGTGTCAGTTCTGATGATCAACCACGTCGTGTTGGGCTTATATACGACGATAGAATGTGTAAGCATTCGTCTCCTGACGATGATTACCATCCCGAAAACCCAAATCGCGTCCGTGCTATTTGGAACAAACTCCAATCTTCAGGAATTCATCAGAGGTTGTTCCTCTCTCTCTCTCTCTCTCTCTCTCTCTGTGTGTGTTGGGAATTTCAGCTGCTTTTGTTCATCGTTAGGGAGTTTCGAGAGGATTTAGTGTTTGTATTGTTGGGAAGTCAGTTCACGAAAAGAAAACATTGTTGAAAGGGATAGTAATGTTTTTAAGCTTAGATCTTTGTATATTTTAATACATTTCTGTGTGTGTCTTGGAATTCCATCTCTTTTGTGTATTTGGTTGGTACTTTGGTGAATTTAATGTTTTGGTAATTGAAATGTGGCATGGGGCTGTATGCATAGCATAGGTGTTGAAGCTTATACGCTTGAACATGTGGATTCTGGATTTGTATGCAAAAAGTTTTTAGGCTTGTGCTAAGCAAAGAATTATTATGCTTTTCCCTTCTAGTTCTGCTGAAAGTATTCAGTTTGATACCATAAGATCACTGATATTTTGATGTCATCAGTGGAATTACATTGAAACTTGCCTAACTTGCACTCATTTAAAGTTCTCCTTTGGAGCTAAATTTCAAAATATATTTTAATGGTAGTAGGACTAAAAGGGGATAGTGGGGAATGGTTTCACTTTTCAGCTTTTTCATTTTTCTTTGTTTCTTTTCTTTTTGATTTTTGTTACCCTCCTAAAGCTTTTAAATTTCAATTTTCTGAATGAAATCTACTTTGGGTCCCTGCAAAAATTGTATTTGACTTAGTCTGAGTGATGTGTATTCTCTTTCAGGTGTGTGGTTTTTAACGCCCAAGAAGCAGAAGATAAACATATAGCTTCAGTTCACACGAAAAAACACATTGATTTGATTAAGACCATAAGCTCCAACAAATTTGACTCACAAAGACATAAGATTGCTGCAAAATTTAATTCCATATATTTCAATGAAGGATCATCAGAAGCTGCTCATCTTGCTGCTGGTTCTGTAATAGAGGTAAAACTCTCAGGGTCGCTCCCAATATTTCAGAAATTAGTGGGTGCTGTAAGAGAGATTCTTGCATGGTTTGGATATCATAATATGTTTTTCTTTGGTGTCTTTTTTATTTTTCGCTGATAATTCATGCTTATTTTCAACCTTGTGGATACATAGAGTGGGCAAGTTTTAGATCTTGTTCACCTATAATAACTCGATGTGAAACTCAAAATATTTTTTGTAAGACTGTAACTATATAAACGAGTCGATTTAGCTGAAACATGGTGACTCGATGTCACCTATTACAAATAGCACTAGTGAAATTTCATATTGAATTACCCCTACTTTTTTTTTCATGAATTTTATTCTCGAATGGCAACCTATAGATCATTGGAACAACTAAATTCTAGAATCTAGATTATGAGTTATCTAATTTTTGTAAAACCAATTAAATCAAAAATAGGGATACTGAGATCACAGCTACCATAGGTATCCCATGATCCAGGGTTGCAGTGCCCCACAAGGGGTTGGATTTACAAACTAGGACCCCAAATGTAATCCTAAATCCCAAATCAACCTATCATCCTGGTAACACCAAATTGTAACCCTAATGCCATATAGTACTCCTAAAGGTTCTTTATTTTGGTTATCTATGAACTTCTATTTTGATTTATTGTGTTTTGAATTTTTCTCATAGTACAAATAATTACAATACGCAACTGGTAACTGTTTTAGACTAAGAATCTGTTCGTATTTCTTATCACAAATATAAATAAATTTTAATTGACTAGGAATGTATGGATGGATAGAAATATATTAATTTATATAGTAGTGAACACCATCTAGATAAGATTTCCAAATTGAACCTTTAACCAAGACCACATACCATTACAGTCTACCCTTGTCGAACTGCGTATGGCGTAAACAATGTACAATGTACTCTTACTTGTACTACGGAAGAAATCGACAGACGATTCAAGTTATATTGATCAAGACAAAGTGGTTATGTATAGCCTATTGCGATCTGTCTTAATCCTCTTTGTGAATGAGTGTTGCCATAGCATTTACAAGAACGAATACAGTTTTACGACTTTAACTCAACAAGACGAGGGGTATGTACTACTTTCTGTATTTGCTATTGAGTGTAATTTTTCCTTTAGAACTAGTGTTTGGAAATATTTGTTGCAATTGCAATTGTTATAAGATCTTTTGAGCCTAATTGTGGATATCTGCTCAAACAGGTGGCTGAGAAAGTTGCCAAAGGGGAATTGAACTCCGCATTTGCTATTGTCAGGCCCCCAGGACATCATGCTGAAGAAGATGAACCAATGGGATTTTGTCTCTATAACAATGTTGCTATTGCAACACGTTTTCTGTTGAATGAAAGGGTGAGAGCTAATGTTTGAGTTACTATGTAATCTTTTTTATTTAAATACTCGATTAGCCAGGATATTTGTCATGAAGCTCAACGTATAATTTTGCCTTTATGCTTACTGTAACCTCAAACTTAATCATTCATTTTCATGTCAAAGGCAAAGTTGGGTATCAACAAAATCTTGATCGTTGATTGGGATGTTCATCATGGAAATGGTACTCAGAAAATGTTCTGGAAGGATCCCCGAGTACTTTTCTTCTCAGTCCATAGGTACAGAAGAAATTCAACCCCATAACTGCTTTTCATTGTTAGTAAATTTCAACTCATCCATGTCATTGTCACTTCCCTTAATAATAGTTAGAACTTAGAAATCGCTGGACAATTGTTAGTTGAATTTGTCTGATATGGTGTCATTAACTTTGTTAGCTATTCATTTTATTTTTCATTATTTTTTATTGTTAAGAGCTTAATTTGTGATTTACTAATACAGTAAGGTTCAGCCTGAGCCAAATTGATTTATGGTGTGCCAATTTTATGTGTAGATGGACTTGGTCTCTTGTCATAATTGTGTGTAGTAGTTTGTCTTATTTAGGTATGACTTTGGGAGTTTTTATCCAGCTGGTGATGATGGTTCTCATATTATGACTGGAGAGGAGCCAGGTGTGGGGTATAATATAAATGTCCCATGGGAGAGTGGCCGGTGCGGTGATGCAGACTATCTGGCAGTTTGGGATCACATATTAATTCCTGTTGCCAAGGAATTTAATCCCGACATGATTATGATCTCTGCAGGATTTGACGCAGGTCAGTTCTAGTATTATTAATTAAAATTACTTTGATTCCTTACATGTTATTCATAGTCCACTAATTTTTCTTGATCAACTGTCATTTTTGTAGCCTTATACATATGTTTTTTTTCACACAACTTGCGCTACATAGTATTTTGTCTTGGGTACCAAAATATAGTTTAAGCTGGAGCACGTGGGGAAATGCCCTGTCAATGGGCCTAGTTTACTTGCGTATGTGCTTGTCCAGGAGGGTTGATGTTCACAAGGGGTTTGAAAAAGATTTTACACACGTTAGGCTTTCTAATGCAACCGTTCTCCTTTGTCCAGGTTTAGGATGGTTATGTTAAGAGATATAAGATAGTAAGCACATCATGGACAGACTGAAGGATAGATTTGGAGGTTTTGGTAAAGGAAGGACAAATTAAGGGAAGATAGAAGCAAAAGAAGTTTCTCATAAAATAATGGTATTAGGGGTGAAAATTGCATGATAGAAAATAAAATCAAGTAAGACATTAGAACTTGATGTAAAGTCTACTAAAGCTTTGAAGTACCTAATAAAAGAGTGTCTTAGTAACAAAATTTTTAGTGAGTTTACAACCAATAAAATGTTTAATAAGTAGAGAAAGAGTATTTTGGTATCCATAAATCAAAATTAAATTGGAGCATAAAAAGAAATTTGGGGACGAGTGTTTGGGCATCGATTAAGAGTTGAAACCACCATTTCAGAAAATGAGGTTGGATTTATATCTGGGAGGTTAATATACTTTCAAAGGTGGCTAAAAACAATACAAAGACTAGAAGAAAGATATTCGTGTGAGTGTTAGTTGCCAATGGAACTTATGATAGGGTTCTTGGAAATAAAGTATGAAAAATTTGGAGAAACAGAGTGACAAATAAGTATATACATTTGATAAAAAACAGGTGTATGATGTGGTTGTGACTATAATAAGATCAATCACGAGTAAATTTCTAGTCATTGCCCCAATTACAGATGGACTAACTAGAAAGGTTGGGGAGGAGGTTCAGTGTTGGATGTTATTTGCCAATGATGTTGTCTTAAGGGAAAATTATAAATAATTGCCTTGTGGTTTGATCCTGTGACACATTACCTCCCTTATACAATAAAAATCTGCGCGTAACCCTGTGATTTTGGATTAAACTGAAACAGTTAAGAATTTTGTTAAAATTAATGGTCAAAGGTCAACAAACTATATTTAAAATAAAATAAGTCAGAATGACATATATATCCTTATAGATGTTGAATTTTTTATCTTCTCTCTATGCTAGATCAAGCTTTTTTTCTATCTTCCCTTTTTATTCTTTAAATATATTTCTCAAGTTGTGTAAAAATTTAAGAAGAAAAAACACTAGCAATTTTAAAAAGGTGGAAGCTATTATTGTCTTTTTATCCTAAATTGTTAATCTCGTTAGGTGCCACAAAGGAGATTTTGTGTAGGTTTTTCAAATATAGGAGGTAAATTGTCACTAGCTTAAACCTTATGGAAGTATTATGTAATTTACCCTTTGTTTTAATTGAGAAAACCACATGGGTTGACACAATATTAGAAATAGGATAGGAACACTAGAAGAGTTGTAAAATCAGTAGAACTAGAGCTGGATATATGGAATATAACTTTAGTAAAAGCAGAAATGAAAATGAATAGATAATGAAGATCAAATATCAATAGATACCGAGGAGATAGTGATTCAAGATGATCAGATCAAGTGAAAAAGTCTTTTTGTTTCTTATGGGATTGACAAGTACTAGTGAAAACTTTAAAAAGAATTTTATAAGATGATTATAAAACCAACAATACTTTATAAGACAAAATATGTATAACTAAGAAATAAAGCTTTTATAAAATGATTGTAGTCAAAATAGGAAAATTAAGATAAATGTGTAATACAAGAAAAGATAGAGCTAGAAATGAATACATTCATATGACATTTGGAATAGTACCAAATGAAAATAAATAGAAAAAAAATTGTGTTTGACATAGGTTAGAAGTGTCACCCAAGTCATATGTGACTCAGCCTCTACCGATCCGATAACAACACAGGGTACGAGAGTATTATGAGTTCACATGAACCGACTTGCTCCGAATCGATTTAACCGGTTCAAAATCAGTATAACCTGGGTGATTAACGTCCAAATAAAATTGATAAGGACATAACAAGAAATTGATAAAATTGGGAACACGAACTTGCAAAATCGTGTATCATTTGCCTTGGATACAGAGAGCCATCGTGTTCTCTTTCTCATTTTTCTTGTTCTTCAGTTCCAGACTTTTAGTCAGAGCAGAGACCTAGTTTCTTTGATCTTCATCTTTCGGCTTTGACTCTCAATCTTGACCTTGCATATTCGATCGTCGACACTCAAGCCTCAATGTCTCTTGCTTTTTCTTGGCCTCACTCTTTGTTTTTCTATATCGGTTATTTTTCTCCCTTGAATGAATGCAAAGCCTGAGTAGGGAAGACGGAGTCCAAGTCATATCAGTTCTCTTAAATATGTCGGTTTATTTATTGGTTTGTGAGTTTTTTTTTTTAATTTATGTTTTATTTTTTAAGGTAAATTTCACTTTAACTTCCTATTATTTACTCGTTTTTCATATTACCTCCTTATCATTTAAAAATAACCACATAACTCCCACATGGTTTGTGGACTAAAGTGCATCGTTAGACTTTAACAGACGGTGTTAGTGACGTGCGGGCTGTTAGAGTAAATACTAACAAAATATATGAAAATGACAAAAAATGCCCTTGCCCACAATCAATGTCACCTCTCTCTCTCATACATCACACCGCCAAGTCACCATCTCTCTCAAGCCTGCAAGTTCATGGCTTTCAGTCACCCACCAGCTACATTTCTGCTTCCCCTTTCCTATTCTCCAACGTCCAATCAGTCCATGCCTCCAGCCACCACCAAATGGAATAAAGTTGGTCGTCGCTCGATAGCCACCTCAATCAAACCAAATCAAAGTACTCACCAACAATAAAATCCTAGAAATTTTCTTTTGGTTTCAAGTTTTTTTTTTCTTGTTAAATTTTGGTGGTATTGGTGATGGTGAATTTGTCTTGGACTTTTTCTATTTTTGATTTTTTGTGAAATAGTGTTGGGTGATTTGTGTTGTGTGTGGCTGTGAGTGTGGTGAAGAATGGAAGAGAGATTAGAGAGTGATAATGGAAGCACAATGGTAGAGGCACAATAATGGTACAGAGAAGGCCTTGAAGCTGATGGTGATGTTCTAATTTTGATTTCATTCGTTTTTGCTAATAGATTTTGACCTCAAAATTTGATTTGAAATTTTTTCCTTTAATTTTGGGTTCAAAGCATTATAGTCATGCCGCATGAGTGCTTTGCCAGAAAGAGGTTGTAGGGAGTCTACTAAAGAATAAGACAGAGGGAAGGGTATTAATATCATTTTACTTTTTCTGTTAACAGAGTTAGGAGTCACTTTAGTCCACTAACTATGTGGGGGTTATGTGACTCTTTTTAAATGATAAGGAGGTGATGTGAAAAACGTGTAAATCACATGGAAATAAAGTGAAGTTTTCCCTATTTTTTAATCTCATGTTTGTTGACTTTTGTGTTTTACATATGGTGGACGTATCGTAATTACACTATAAAAATTGGACATACATAAATCAATAATTTTTTTTTTTTTATCTTTTCCATGAAATTTGAAATTATCCTAGAAACAATAATAATGGTTTTGAGCGCTATCATCATTCAATGCCGTAATGACTATGACTCGGTATATGTTCTTAAATGCTTAGATTGAACACCAGTGATGATGAATATAACTGGTGCCCTTTGTATTTTATTTTAATTATGTTTCATGTGTCTAGAGATGAATTTTGGACATATGATGCATGTATGATTCTTTTCACTTTTTTATAGAATATATAATGATTTTTTCAAAAAAACTTGGCTTTTTATCTAGATTTTGAGCTTATTGGCTGATACTGGGCCACGACGCCACAACTATTGTGTATCAGTGTCATTTGAGTCGATGTCCAATATCACGATCTTGAACTATAATTTGGACATGTACATGTAAGACCAATTTATGTACCAACGAGGAAGATTACACGATGATGCTTTGTGAAAATGCTAGGGGAATGAGAAGACTAAACTTGACATGAAATGACGTAGTGAAGAAGGATGCATTTGCTCGTGAATTGATCGGATATATAGCCTTTTACTGAGCAAAACCCCAAACTGGATTGGTTTGGACTTTAGGTAGTCTAAGAGGCCAATGCAAATACTAAACCTAGTATTTTACCATGCTATAACCGTAGTATATTAAATATGCTTCCAAAGTGGTTAGAAACTTGTGTTTTTAGTATGTTTTTCATGTATTATCTTATGTGAATGAATGGGAAAATTTTCCAAGCATATAAACAACCTTCTCAAATTCCTTCATACCATATGGTCCATGTATGGTTACCCCCATGTGGTTAAGAAGCACGGAAATGGACACATATGCGACACTACACGACATAGACACGTTGATGCAAATTTTTCAAAAAAGTAGGCACGGATACGTTGTGGGACACGTTAAATATTACGTATTTATTTATTTATTGAATATATATATACATATATATATGTGTGTGTGTGTGTGTGTGTGTGTGTGTAATAATGTGATAAAATAAATATATTTTGATAATAATTGTGCAATTCATCCTTTCTTTAATTTAAACAACTCACATCATGATATCTTCGAATAAAAAATTCAATAACACATATACCGATACACACTCATCATAAATATTCATGATCCAACAAACATTTATTACTACAATTTCCATTTTCAAAAATATCCCAAATCCTAACCTTAATTTTCATCAATTCTAAAAAGCCCCAATTTCATAACTATTGTTCATCACATTGTTTCCATATAGAAAGTTCCACCATTTGTATATAATTTTATAATTGTTTCCGAAATTATGTTATATTCATGTCCTATGTTCATGCTTCCTTAATTATATAGTTGTTAGACAAGTTTTCCAAATTTTGAGAAAAAAAAATCTCAAAACATATCCTCAAGCGTGTCCCCAACGTGTCGGCCGGGTCTGCTCAACTTGTCCAAAATGTGTCCTAAAAAAAACTTAACAATAAAAAAATTGGACACTCATTTTAACTTGTGCGTGTCCCAGACTTGTCCAACACCGATACTTTGACCAAAATGAATTGTCTGTGCTTCCTAGCCATGCAGTGTTATAAAGTCAATCTTGTTTAAGTCTACATTGTGATGTGATGTACTGTGTTTCTCTAGTGGGTACTTTTAGCCTATGTTGTTATCATCGATCGCCAGAAATGGGTCCAATCTTTGTTTAAGATTGAACCCTTTTTGCACTTCCTTCCTTATGGAAAATGCACAAATTTTCAGCATGTAACCCTCTCTGAAAATACTGATAGACAATGAAATTACCCAGTTCACGTAGGACTTAGGGATTGCATGCGTTTTAAGAGGGTAATATGGAATTTAAGAGGGTTATATGGAAGCTGTAAGAGTTCTGAATACTTCCTTTTTTATAACGAAAAAAGAAGGTGACAGAGTAAGAAAGAATTTCGTTATTTCTGCTGGATAGCTATATTTCATTATTTCTGAATTGTTGTTAATTATTTATTTACTTAATTGGCAAAAAGTATTTGTTTAATTATAACACATAATTTTCTTCTCTTTTCTTTTTTTTTTTTTTCCTGTTTCCCCATATTTTTTATTTTTTGGGAGGAATGGGGTTTGAACCCTTGACCTCAAAAAGGCAAAGCTTTTACAAGGTAAGGAGTAGACCAAAGACCCATTAGTCTGTTTCCCCATATTAGTTTGACAATTAATGGATAGATGATTTATTTTTATTTCTATTTTTGTTGGTGGGGAATCAAATTCAAGGCTTATTGATCTAATATTTGCTGATGCTTTGCCATGAACAGCTATTAATGATCCTCTTGGGGGCTGCTGTGTTACACCATATGGGTATTCTGTTATGTTGAACAAGGTTTGAATCAAAACTTTTGTGATTATTTTGTTTCTGTTATTTAGTTGACTAAGTGACATCAAGTTTTGTTGCACTACTAAAGAGAGGATGATACAATGAACAATTTTATGCCCGCTCTTCCTTCACATATGCTGCTTGCTATCCTGTTATATTCCATGAAGGCCTGTTATTGTATTTGAAGTACAGTTTCCTGTACAATCCAGTCCATTATTATCTTGAAGTCTCATTTAGAAGAAATATTGATTTTTTTTTTTTCGTTTTATCTAGTTAATGGAGTTTGCTGGGGGTAAGATTGTTATGGCTTTAGAAGGAGGATACAACCTTGATTCGTTAGCAAATTCTGTCCTTGCGTGTGTGGAGGTGTTGCTAGAGGACAAGCCTGTTACTGGATCTTATGAGGCTTATCCATTTGAGTCCACGTGGCGAGTTATAGAAGCGGTAATATTTCTTTTTGGTGCTGGGCCCTCAGCTCATAATTTTATTTATGTTTTTTTTTTCTGGGGAGCTGCTTTGAGTGTCACCAAGGCACAAAGTGATTCATCTTACAGAGTTGTTGTTACACTAAGGCATTGTGATCTGAAGTTATCAAGTCAATTCTGTCGTGGCTGCTTGTGATGCTGAGGCCTAAATAGTTTGTTTGTCAGGTCCGTGCAGAATTAAATGCATTTTGGCCGGCCCTTGCAGAGAAATTACCAGAGAAGTTACCTAGTAGGAAAACACCTCAAATTCAGGTTGTACTTTTTCCCTCCTATTGTGGTCTTAGTATGTTTGACTGGTCTTGAAGCTAGAATGTTGTTGTTTAGCATAACCAGGGGTCGATGTTGTATGTGAAGTCTCACTTCAGTGATTGTCTTAAATTTCTGTAGTGAGTGATCTTATATGTTAATTGTAAAAGTCATTTAACCATTGAGAAAGTAATGGATGTTATTGATGCAAATAATGCATGGTTCAGTATATGACTTTGTCTATGATGACTCGCATGATGAACATTCTGTGGGGAGGATTAATAAAAAAAAGAGAAGGAAAAAAAGATGGTGAGGTGTTTGATTCACATTTGTTTACATAGGATGCATTCAGACATGGTACCTCTTCTAAGGAACTTTCAACAAGCATAATTATTACGATATCCTTCATGTCCTCACTTTATCTGTGGTATACCGTATACTGCATAGGCATACATCCATTGTACGTGATTTTCCTTTAAGAAACAATTAAACTTTGGTGCGCTACATCAAGAAACACCTTTTTTTGCTCCCACCACTTCACAAGCTACAGTTTATTTCTCTACTAAAGATACCAATGAGGTTTCGGACTTTCTTTCTATTGCACTCTCCATTTTCTGTAAACATTATTCTGCATCTGTTTCCTGATATTTTCAACCCATTATTATAGATCTCAAGCTCTGATTCTGAAGGTGAGCATGGTTCTGGTCCAGAGAAAGTAACAGAAGACCTTGAGGAGGCTGTTATACAACCATTTGCAGAGTTGAAAGTGGCTGAATATTGCTATGGTATAGATGAAATCATTAAATGTCTTTGCCTAACAGTCTTTTCTGTTGTTTTCTAATTCCATGATCTTCAAACTGACTGTAGCTCCAGAGATCCCTCTTTCTCCTTGGAGATCAGAGCTTGCAATGATTTATGTATGGTATGCCGCATATGGATCAAATATGGATAAATCGAGATTCCGCTGCTACATCAAAGGTGGAAAGGTAAAGCAGCAACGCTTGCATATTACAATCTCTAATTCCAAACTTCCACATGTATACATTTGAAGCATTGCTTAGAAGTTCTTTTCTGTTTTAGTCATATAATGGGCACTAATATTTTCCAAATCCTAATGTTAATAATACTGGGCAGTGTGAAATGACTGCTCTTATGTAGGTGCTACACATTTCAATCCACAATTCAATTCTCTTTTTTTATTCTGCTTTAGAAGATAACCCTTATGTCGATGAACAAAATAGTCATACTTCATCCTGATTCCTGAAGTACAAAAGCTGGCTGACATGATAATTTTCTCTTCACCCACATGAACACCCAATCAGAGGTTTTAGTAATAAATTTAGTCCAGTTCTAGTCTTGTTGAGAGGTTTTCCTCTAAACATGCATGTCAAAAGTTATAATTTTGCAACTTTTTGATTGGACTTAAATTTCTTTCAATGTCGAACTGAAGGCTGTATGAAAACAGTTTCTCTTATTCACATCCTTTCAGGCCGTGGCAATATTCTTTGCTGTTCTTATATTTTTTAGTTATCCCTTTCACATTCACAAAAATGATTTCTAGGTGGAAGGCATGCGACGGACATGTTCTGGTTCAAGGGACAGAAGCCAGCCAAAAAAGATATTGTGGAAGACTCTCCCTCATCGTCTATTCTTTGGTCGTGAACATACAGGAGCATGGGGTCCTGGAGGAGCTGCTTTTCTTCATCCTGAAAGTAACGTTTTGGATAAAGCATATTTGTGCTTGTATAAAATTACGTACGTGATATTTGTGATTCTGCTCCCATTTCTAGCTTACTGCCTCTTCTGAATCATTGGACAGTCTCTCTGACATGGAAATCTCCTGATGAAACGTGACACTTCCTCTATGGATGCTCTTATATTCTTTGATCTTGATTTTTCCTTGTCTGGCTTCCTTTGCAGGCTTGAGCAGTTCAATGATGTTTTAGTCCAGGAGAATGGTTTAAACCATGACATGACGTCTCCTTTATTTGATTTAACTGCTTTAGACTCCCTTGCAAGCAAGCGGTCTATTTCTGTGGAGGTTCGCAAGGTATGCCTAGTAGCCATAAACATCATGTTTGTGCATATTAGGATGTGACTAGTTCATATGGGTTGGCATTATTGCCTCTGTTTGGTATTCTAATGCAAGTTGAAATCCCTCAAGCTAAGTTTCTGAAAATATAACAGTGCCATTGTCAACTCTAATGGTTGTTATGTAATTCCAACTCTTTTGCAGAATGTATTTTCTTCTTCGTTTTGACTCATCATGAATGCACAGCTGACAAAAAAGCAATCCATTTGCATATAACAAACTCTTTTCTTTTTCATTCCATCACTAGAACGGTATTAATCATTAGTGGTTGAACTGTACGAATCAATCACAGCAGATGATCGGGATACGTTTCAAGCCTTGGCGTGGCTACATGGTTTATATTTTTAATATTAATGGAACTAATTTGAGAGAGCTGCTTTTGAGGCTATTGATATGGCCTCAACTAATTGGGTTTTCTTAACCGTGGATATACTTTGATTCTTGGGAGGGTCCAGGTTCACTTTTTGATCCACTATAAATTTGCTTGGCTGGCAAATGCATTCCTAAACACGTGATTTCATTTTTTTCCATTTCTTCATTTACTTGCAAAATCATTTGAATGGGTGGTACCAAGGAACCAAATTGAACCAAAGGATCATACTTGGTAAGTTTGGGATCAACTATCTACATTTGATCTATCCTTTGCTAATAATATCCGAGGTTTTTGTAGATTATGCTATGTGTAGACATTGTATCTGAAATGATATCATAAGTCCGAATTTCTTTTTCCTAACATTATGTATATTGCTTCATTCTTATATAGAGGGGCTGGTACCGTAACGTCGTTTACCTGGGGAAAGAGGAGGGTGTTTCAATCCTGACAATGACGTAAGCACATTCAACTGTTTCATGACTTCACTTTTATGACTATTTGTATTATAATCCAACACAGTTCAATTTGGCATTTATAATTTGATCTGTATTAAGAACTTCTTTTTATTGCTCTTAATTCAGATGCACCCTTTCTGATATCGAGAGGTTCAAATCCGGTAAGGTAGCCATGTGTACACCAGCCAAAGAATATGTCAATACCTTGGTTAGAGGACTGGTTGAAGGAAAGCAGCTCTCAAAAGAGGAAGCCAGGGCTTACATAAAGGAGGCCTCTACTAAAGCACTGTGATTACACCTTCCCTTTCTCGTTTATCTTGTAAATTTGTCAAGTACTTGCTTGGTAAGCTACCCCACTATCGTGGAAGCCTTCGTAGTAGGTAGCAGATAGTGTCTAATTATGGACTAATCAGATTTCCATTCGGCTGATCAGCCTATATCTATTATTCGTTGCTGTGAAATGCAACTAAAAACTCTATGTATTATTGCAGTCTAGACATGCTAATATGAATGTGAAGAAACTAATGCAGTAGTAAATTTGAGTGGTTTTATATTGGCAATGTACATTACTGTCTAATTTGGTTTTGTGTTGGCTGTGTTGCACTATTATGTCTCAAATAGCTGTGACAAAGCTATCAACAGGCTCTCCAAGCATGATAATAATTCGTCCGAGAGTTGCTCTCCCGACCCTGGATTTGAATAGCGTTGTGGTTTTATACTGGCAAACAACTCTGGTATGATAGTCATGGTTATTGAAGGTATAAAAGCACAAGAAAACAACAATGGGAGAAAATTTGAAAAAAAAAAAAAAAAACAGCTACACCATGCAGTGGGTAGATCTCTCATACACCTTACTGTTTTCCAAAAACAAAAAATCTAATTCTTTACCTCCTCTAGGCAGCAAGCCTGTGTACCAATGCACCAATAGAACTCAAACTCATTGGAGTGCCATGGCTTTTCTGATCGAGTGAACGGACTAACACTTTTTGGCGCTGAAAACAGTTCGTACCAATTTCACCTTTCTGCTTTGGAAGGTGAGGTCGTGTATATCTGATCTTCTTAGAACTTGTAATGACGGGAATGGTGGGAATATGGTGTACTAAAAGTATATAAACTGTTGGGCAGCTCTAGACGAATTAGGGCAGTGGCAGTGATATACAACTAAACAGCTGTAAATAACATGAGCCACGTAACTCTTTCATAATAGCCATCGCAATTCTGTTTGCTTCCAAGTCAACTGCTTCAGCAATATCAAATCTTCGAGTACTCACTCCATTGAACCGTTGAAGAAAATGTTTTGTCACATCCCTTACTATTGGAACTGGCAAAACTCAAACTCTTAGGTTAATATCCTAAAACCTATAATATAACTGTTACTTTTTTTTGGGAAAAATTTCATCTTCACCCCCTCTAAACAGGTCTATCTTTAACGACATCCCTTACTTTTTTTGAAATTTTATTGACCTTCCCTGTCAGTGTTGGTCGGCTAACAGACGTGACTGAAACACACGTTTTATCATTTTACCTATGAATTTTATAAAGATTTACATATTCACCAATTATTTTTCGTTCAACTATATATAAATACTTATTTCTATTTCCTATAAGTATGGCCATGTTTGTTTGCCGAATATATGAGGTATTAGGAAGTGAGATAGAGTAAATAGTACTTAGGGCTCACTTATTATCTTGTTTGGTTGGCATTTTATGTGCATTACTATTTTTTGGGGTACAATATCGACCCGGTTTATACAGTAACTTTTATCCCTTGTACATGACTTTAATGAATACCACCTACCAGGTGGTATTATTTGTTGGTATAAATCCACCAATGGTACAAGCAAGAAAAATGACACAAATATCCTCCTCTATAGAGTTCATATATAAAAAATTTATTTTGAATTTTTTTTTGTATTATGTTTAAATGTACGGAGTCACTGGTTTTTTTTTAAAATTTTAAAAAAAAATTATTTTGAATTTTTTTCTTGTATTATGTTTAAGCGTACGATGTCACCGGTTTTTTTTTTAAAAAAAAATTTCTAAAAAAATTATTTTTAATTTTTTTTCTTTATATTATATTTAAACGTACGGTGTCACCGGTTTTTTTTTTTTAAAATAAAAATTTATTTTGAATTTTTTCCTTGCATTATGTTTAAGCGTATGGTGTCAACGTTTTTTTTAAAATTTTTCTTACAGTGTCACCGATTCATAGCACTAGATTTTTTATTTTTATGTAAATTTTTTACATTATTCTTCATCAATTCATGTTAGGACTAGTGACTTGGGTTTATTGTCACGTTGTTTTTGCAGCTAGGTTGTTGGGTTGTTGACGCATGAGAGAGAGAGAAAGGGGGGTGAAACAAGGTTTTCATGGGGAATAAGGGTAAAATTTGACATTTAATAAAAATTTTGGTATGACATCAGCACTTTTCTGATGGTCAGTAACGGGTGGTTACGATAAAAGGCCTAAGTGAAAAGGACATATAAACTAGAAGGAAATACGGTGAAATTTCAGAAAATGCAGGAGGTGTCATTGAAGATAGACCTATTTAGAGGGGGGGCATAGGTGAAATTTTTCCTTTTTTTTTTTTTTTGTGTCATTTAGTTTTTAGTTAGTTGTATTAAGTTGGACCCAATTTATGAACACAATTTACTGATCCAAATTGCAAGTAGACTCTAATTAGTTAGGGAGTCCATCGCAAAAACGACGTCAACAATTGGACTGCATCAACAAATTGTCAATAAATTGAATTCAAATAACAGTATCCTTAAATAACTAAATTCCTAAAAGTCAATCTGAAGTAGGCCGTAGGGTTTGCAAAGGACAGGATATGTTGAAATTTCGGTGACTATGCATTTGTTATTGTTGCTAGAATATCTCAATTAAGGATGCAATTCGGGCAGGTTAAACAGTCAACTCTAATTCAATCTTAGTTATATAATCTTCAACCCTAACCCTAACCCTACCTCCGGTTGAGGGACTCAACCTGCCTGAGTTTAATTTGGGGGATTCGGATTGAATTCTGGTTAATGATTTTGGACTATTTTAAAAATTCAATAAGAGTTAAAATCAAAATAGACTTGTTGTTCTAAACCTGATATATATATTACATAATATTCATCTAAATTAACAACCAACAACTTCAATTAAGGTTTTAACATAAAAACCATAATATTAAAAACTCAATGTTTGAGATAATACAACCACAATCATACAGAACACATATAAACACGACTAGAATCCTTGTACAAATATAGAGTTCACTACTTAAATAGTGAGTAAGGGAAGCGCACAATAAAGACTTCAGAATAGATTAACCCTTGACTTAAAAATATATTCATATGGTTATGAATATTCGGGTTCAACCCTGAAACCCTAGGGGTCAATCCTAGGCCCGCCCAAATTGAATTCGAGTTGAAATTTTTTGACCCAAACCCAATTCAAATATTAAAAACCCTAACCCAAGTCTTAATATTTTCGAGTTGGGCTCAAATTAAAATTGGGTTAGCCCGCCTAAATTACACCCCTAATCTCAATCAACGACTCATATTTTTACAATGTTCAAGTAAAAACTTAATTTGATACAAATTATTCTAATGGACAAACTCAAAATTAAAAGAGGACAAACTCAAAATTAAATGTGAATGGAATATGACCAAATCACGATTAGTGATTTAAGTAAAAGTTGAAGTCTCCCTTGATTTGAGTTAAAATTTGAGGTAGGGATTCATATGACACTATCACACACAAATTAAAGTTCAGTTCTTCAAATTTCTCCCACTGTACAACATACTGCAACCAAATAAACTTACATACAGCATGATCTCAAACTAAGGGAAAAAGAAAAGAGAGGCAGCTTTGAATAAATGATAATTAATCTTTGTTTCAACAGATTGTTGCAAATTAAACTATAAACAATTGTAACAAAAATAAGGCTGGAAAACAGATTTGAATTCCAAACACTTCGGAAACTTTCAGCAATGCAATAAACCTTCATCGAGATTTAAGTGCAGCATGACCCGTATCACCCAGATGCTTATGTAGTCTATTCCTGCCATGACAAAAGGGTAGAAACCGAAACAATGAACAGCAGGAGCAGTGATGACAGTGCAGATGACAAAAAGACTGCAGAGGTAGGCGCAAAAGAAGGCAAAGCTAAAGCTGAAAAATTCTTGAAATACCTTGTTTCAAATTCCTCTCCACACGTCTCACAAACATTGCCAGAAAATTTCGACGTCACCTATGTTGAAACAGAAAAAGTTATTAGACATGTAGTAGTGAGAGACCAGCACAACTTTTAGAAATGTTTAAATATATTAGTAAATGCACTAAGAGAACCAATACTGAACTACTCATTACTCAAAAGTTCTATAGCTATAACAGGCAAAAGAAATATCCAAGCACGTACTTCCTACAATTGAGGTATCCTCACTTATAGACTAAGCACTCTACGAGAAACAACAGAACTCGAGATATTAGGGGAAAAATAACTTCACACGCAAAGGTAAAAGATAATAAGAATACATAATCAGAACCCATACCAAGTATGTGTCATTGGGAAAACATACTCAGGTTTGTGTAAAACAACATAACATCGATTCTAAGAGATCTAGCATATGGTATCAAGCAAGCTGGTAGCTTGTTGCTAGACATTTGATGGCAAGGATAGTATGCTACAAGGTTTAGCTCATGCAATTATGTAATCTCTATGAATGTGTAGAAACAAACTTGAGAAGTGTTTGTACCTTTTGTTTCCTTCCTTTAGATGCATTCTTTGATTTGGTGTTTGTGTCCTTCTTGGTGTTAGCTTTCTTATCAACGGCTTTCTTTGTAACCTTTTGATTCCTTTCTGACATATCATCTCCTTCACCAATAGTCTCCTTTTCTGCTATAGAAGAGAATAAAGATGACTCCTCGTGTGAACCATCATGATGTCCATTATTTTCCTCTGCCTTACAATTGATTTCAGTCACGTCAACTCTTCTCACTGCTTCATCAGCTCTTCTACCCTTCTCTCTCCTACCTCCTCTATTTCTTTTATTACCCTTCCTATTATTATATTCCATAAAGTCATTCTCATCTTTGTCAACGTCAACATGAACTTTTGTGGATGAAGCCTTAGGCTCACGTGTCATTCCCATATTTTTCCCATTCTTATGCCTGGACACCATAGATTCAAGAATACTGGCTTCATCTTCATTCATTCCGAGCTTCTGACCAACCCCCTTAAAACCACCATCATTATTAGTATCAAGAAACCCTTCTTCCTCACTAGACTGACCTTCATCACTAACACTTTCTTGTTCTTCAATTTTAACCCAATCCTCAAATTTTTCCTGTAACTCATCCACCCCATCCTCAGCTGACATAAAACCACCTGCATCCGCATCATCACCTGCCACCTCCTCCTTGTCCCTCTCTTCCTCTTCTTCCTCATCATTCTCACTCTCTTCATTCACAAATGCTTCCCTCAATTCCGCCACCTTCTCCTTATGCTTCTTTGACTGCTCGTGATTTTTCCACTGCTTCTCACTCTTAAACCTCTTCCCACAGGCCACACAATACAATTCCTTCCCATCCCCCTTCTTCCTCTCATCCTCCTCTACCTCCTCAACCTCCCCATCATCCAATTCCTCAACCTGTGCCCACTCTGGATCCTCATAAGCCTTTGCCCTCTCAGCTCTCTCTCTTTCCAGGCACCTCTTCCTCTCCCTCTCCTCCTCCCTCTTCTTCTCCATCTCCTCCTTCTTCTTCATCTGCAAATCAATCACCCTCTTGTCCCTCTTCCTAACAAACGCCGCCAAATCCCTCACCGTCTCATTATACTCCCTTCGTGCCTTCTTTCTCAATTTCTTATTCTCCTCTTCCATCACCCTCCTTGACTTCCTATTTGGCCCTGCCATCACATTATACTGATCCATCCAACAAAAATCCATTACAGTCACAAAACCCAACCAGTAATTATAAAAAGCAGTCACCTGCATACAAAATAAAATATCTATAAGAAACTTTGTCAAAATCCAAAAAATAAATATTGAGGAATACACATTGAACAGGATAAAGCTTTACATCTAATAATTAAATTCACAGAAGACAAATTATATACAGGGACAACAAAGGGTGTGAACACACCAATTCTTGCAGCTGGTATAAAGTAATCCGTTCCTGTATGGACAGATATATATTGTGTAACAATGGCCCAATATAATTGGCAATAATTCGACTATGTCAGCAATTATTACTAAATGAATGTCAGAAGATTCTTCTCCATTAGCTATAGCAATGGGTTCAAACCCTATCATTCACTCCATAGTAGCTCCACATTGCCATAATTTCTCCAGATATCCAACATAAGGATATTGGAATACATAGCAAATATTGAGGCATACTATTGCAATCGCAGAACAATTGAACCAAAAAAAAAAAAAAAGACATACCTGTGCATAGGGACTCTTCAAACTGCCCATGACTGGCGCTTCCTCTGGTAACCCTAACCCTAATTTCTTCGCGAAATTCAATTCATTCTGATAAACTTTATCAAATATATCAGCATAAACTTGATAGAACCCCTTGCCGGAGTCCGAATAGCCGGAAAACACCGAATTGGAGAAAAAACTGAAGAGATTGGGAACCACGGCGGATGAATTGGAGGGGGCAGAATTGGAGGGAGCCGAACTGGAGAAGAGGATTTGGGAACGATGAGAGTCGTACCACGCACGTTCTCGCGAGTCGGAGAGGACCTCATAGGCGTTCACAAGCTCTTGAAAAGAGGCCGTGGCTTCGGCTTCCGATACGCCAGATTGAATGAGCTTGTCGGGGTGGCGTTGGAGTGCGAGCTTTTTGTACGCCAATCTGATATCGTCGGCGGTGCAGTCGAGGCTCAGGCCGAGGACTTCGTACAGGCACCGTTTCTCCGACGATGCCATTGATGGTGTTTGGAGTTTTCTCAGGTGAGAGTTAAAGGTCGGGTCGGTGGTGTTGGGGTGGTTCTATATTAGGGTTTCTGTTTCAGAGAGTAGAGAGAAAATTGTGGAAGACGAGGGCTATGACTTTTTGGTAAGCTTTGTTCAGCTGAGAGCTTATTTATAAATAGCTCATGTCCAAACAAAGGCTTTCCTTGTTGGACATGGCTATCCTAGTTTATGTTGTACATGTTGTAAGGTGGCTCAAGCGACGTTAGAATTACGGAACTGTAAATTCAAATATTTTAAATTTAAATTTTAAAATATTAATAATTTTGAGGTTAAATTATAAAAAATTAATCACTAAACCCTTGACCATTGAATAAAAAAAATAAAAGACATGATTGTCCTAATTTACAATTTTGTTTGTGGCCAAATTGCACATTGTTTCCTAAATTTTTTAAAAAAAATATCTTTTATGTTTAAAAATTAAATTTTTTATATTATACCCTCAATATATTAAAAATTTTGCAACTTGACCCTTCTATCATTTTTTTACTTATAACTTTTAACTTCAAAAAAGCATAACTTGACCTCAAAAAATTATAAATTTCAGTACAGTAGTCTTCCTCAGCTAACTAAAGCATGTCATTGAGGATAGTATACATACAATCAACCAATAAAACTCAACAACTGCAAAACAACATGACCACAACCTGCTGAGCCAAAATTATGATGTGAAAAATTCTGGGGCATTGTTTTCATTCTACATGCACAAGCTCATTTCTCAATGTAATTTTAACAATTTCAGTAAGTTGTTTCCATGGTCATCCGGTTTCCAACAAAAGAACAACACTGTTTGTCTCGGTCAAACCTGTAAATTTCTACTATGATACAGGGCTATCACCAAAATTGGATGGGTGTGAAATAGAAGGAATCCCTAGGATGCTTGTTGCAAGGAAGATTTTTTTTTGTCTATTGATAAGCTCGATATTTCTTGTCTACCATCTTTGTTTAATCTTTCATTGAAATGATCCCTGAGGAATTCCACGGCCATGAATGTAAGAGCAGATGCTGGAACATACCACATAATTCTGGGGATGCTACCTTTAAACATTCCCCTCATGCCTTCAGTCATCCATATCTTATGAACTGCATCGAACCAGCTGTTGTACCTAACAGTATACAAAAAATATACAGTTTTTCAAGAGGAAAAACACTGGATATATTGGAACAGGCTACAATTTAATACCATGCACCTTCTTCCAATCAAGCTGGCTAGAGAGTGCTCAATTAAGGATAATCACGTGTCCCCATCCTTTTGAAACTCATGAAAATTTCATATTATAACCCATTTCAATCCTCTTTTAGTAATGAGTAACAATGTAAATTATAAAGCACTGACTGAAATAATGAGTCAACTTAATGTAATGGCATCCTCCAGCCAGCTCTGCCCAACAATATCCACTCTAATCAAGTTTTAACCCAGATGGAAGAGGGAGAAGTGTCAAGAAACAGCAAACAGGAAAGAATGTGCATGTGCGTGCATGCTGTATGCATGACCACACGAGCGAGAAAGAGATCTGGAAGGCAAAGAATAAGCTGTAAACATGAGTCAGATAGCATTGAGAGCAGAGCAAAGGGTGAGGAAAAAAAGGCCACAGTAAGAATCCACGCTGACTTGTTTAAGAACAGTTTTCACGGGTCATGAAACTATTATCATGTGAATTTCGAAAAAATTAAGACTCGCATGCTACACAATCAATCCAAAGAAAGATATAAAACCACACCGAGATACTGTAATACTGATAACAAAACTGTTCAAAGAAGTCAATACCTTAAAGTTGCTCCTTGTATTTGCATTCTCGTCTTAATGACATCCAAGGGAGTAGTGAGATATGCACTGAAACCTGTAACATTTTACCATGATTACTTTTGGGAATGAACTAGTTAAGCAAACAACTAATTTAACTGAAGTGATTGAAATTGCTAGCTGGTCTGCAGCACAAGCAAGATACATACCACCAGCTAGCCCTCCCAACAAGAGCCCCTCAAAAGAACTATTGACATGGTAATTTGGATTCGGGAACCATTTTCTCTTTCCATAATCTGTCAGATCTTTCAGGGCCTCATAAAAGGTAACCTGCACAGTATGAACAATTTCCGTCGCACAACATCATATAGAGATTAGAAATAAAAACATAGAGTCCATTGCGTAACTGGATGAGAAAGATTTATTTGAGAGAGAGAGAGTTGCAAGTTATCATATGCTATTACTTGATTTAGAAACATGAACTAACTATCATATGACACAACTACCAATAACCCCATAGCTGAAGACACTCTGCAATACAAAAAATTGAACATTGATCATACAACATTTACATTTCAAATAGCAATTTAGTTTTTTTTTATAGTAGGGAGTATGTTGTTTGACATTTGGAGGTAATACAGATAAGATGATGTTTTTGAGTAGGAAAGAAAAATTAAGATGAATTTTATACCATTGCATCAAAGTAGATGACAATTTGATCAATCTTGACCATTGTCGTTCTTTTATAAGTTGAAAGTTCAACTTCTTAGCTATAATATTTAATAGAGGATCAAGACACGGAATGAATTTTTGTCCTTAAAAATAATTACTCTAGCCAAATTAAAGTATCGCAAAGGAGATCAGAACATCTATGACAAAGGAAGCAAAGAAGCCCCAAGTTTAACATGCCATTGGTCAAAGGGTTATGTCCCAGGACATATGTGCAATCCCCCAGAAGAAACCAGACTAAATGCTAGAGTGTACAACTCTATGAAAATCATATATTATTTATACCATGAGACCGGCAAAAGGCACGTCCCTTGCTAGTGTTGACCAGTATCTGCCAAAGAAATGGAATAAGAAACTATCAGTCAAGTAGAAAGTAAGGAAAACAAATTCAAGGCACCCAATGCAAACGGATGTAAATTTATAAATAGTAAGCAAATAAAGCTGTTGTGGTATGATTGATTGTATACGGTTGCAAGTATAGATGCACAACCATCTGCAAGAGATTTCTAGCCTCAATTAGGTTTGTTCTAAGGACACTTTGTAGTTTAACTAGACAAATTTTCAAAGTGATGATAGTTTGCGTAAAACTAAATGATCCTAAAAGATAGATAATTCAATTTCCACCGTTGACTAAACAAAATTAAAAATGGACCAACGGTCCATAGGAAGCAGGTATATGCGTAGAGAAGGGGAGGAAGAAAGAGAGGACAGATGGATGAGTTTATTTAGCAAATCCTGCAAAGTATATCACACATCACAATCCTTAAAGACAATTGCATCAAATAAGAAGGTGCTAGTGGTGAAGCATGGGAGGAGACCTTAAGTCAAACAACTTTCTCCGGTGTTCTATGATGCCAATAAACTAAGTCTACAAAAACCCAATAACTTTAGAAGAATTAAATATTGAAGCATTAGTATCAAATTTACCCTGCATATAATCCCTTTGGCCCTTGCTCCTTACATATTGAACAGCCAGCCTGGAACATTCCTGAATAGTAACCATACATTTGCATGCTGCGGCCAGAGTCTTTCATGGCAACAGAACTCCAATATTTTCTTGTACCTTGAACCTGCATCCGCTGCTTCATCACTTCACAAGGAACATATATAAAAGAGCCAAGTGTATCTCCTGAATGCATAGAGGACCGCAATTAGGATACTGAGTCCTCAGAAGCGTGCTAACAGCTGATAAAACCAAAATCATGCATAACGCTAATTTTTTAAAAATAAAACTAGTTTATGAACTATGACAGGATAATGAGCATAAGATAAAGTTACTTCAAAAGTAATACCTAACAAAATCCATTACTTACATAACTAATACTTGGGTCACTTGTAAGTTAAGGCCAGGGGCATCTTCCTAATGACAAATCATTTTGGAACAACTTACCAATAGCTCCAGCTATGAAATGAGCCCAGTGGCCACCAAGACTAGGATGCGATTCTTCAATCCACTTCTTGGTAGATTCTATGACACCGAAATATGTAGCTCCGGTGGCAAGAGATCCAGTTACCCCGGGTGTTATGCCTCTATAAAAACCTATCAATCAAACCACTTCAAGTAAACCACATATTACATGACATCAAATGTGGTAGAAGTGGAAAACTGAGAGAGCCACATAATGTACCTGTTAGACCATCAGTACCCCAGACTGTCCGGATCATCTGTAATATGTTCTTCTGATTCTACCAATAACAAGTAAAGTAATTTATCACCATAGACTCTAATAGAATTTGAGACGGTCCTAAGGAACTACTACTATTTGAGGAATCAATATACCTTAGTTTCCTAATTTATTCCCTCCTACCATCTTATCTTAACTTATTTCCATACTGCTGTTGTTATTATCAATGTTATCAAAACTGGACCGGACCGGTTCAACCGTGAACCAGGACCCTAACCGGTCCGGTTCCTTAGTTGAACCGCTTAAGGAAGCGAACCGGTTAAAAACCAGAAAACCAGCCGGTTTTTAACAAAAACTATGAACCGCCGGTTTTATAAAAACCGGACGGTTTAATGCCTATTTAAAAATTAAATTACATAAATAAATTTTTTTGCCTTAAACCAGTAAATAGCTGATTTTTTTAACCATATTCTTGGATAAATTATAAATGACACCCCTTTTTTTTCTTTATAATTTACTTGAACCTCTTTACTTTGCTTTAAAATACAATAACCTCCACTTTGTTACTTAATTTCATTAATTTTATGGCAAATTTTATGTATTTTATACATATTTTATATTTTTTAGCTAAATTATTAAGTTTTATAATTATTATATATATATTTTTTATGTTTTTATTATATGACTGGTCCGACTAGTTGACTCAACAATTGAACCAGTGAACCATTGACCCGGTCTCTTTGCCGGTTCGATGACGGTCCGGTTCTGATAACATTGGTTCTTATAAAAACATGGTTCAAACTCACGCCATTCCTGACCAAATAGAAAAATACAAAAACAAAAACAAAAAAAAACTTATCTTAACTTATAACATTCAATATAAAATAGCCAATTGCAAAACACGCTTTTAATTAAAACAAAACTGACAAGTTTTGTTAGAAACCGTGAAAAGTCACTAATTGAGAAACAAATTGATGCTGACAACTGGTGTATATACCTGACATCCACTAAGAATGGCTTGACTTTGAATCCGCGTCTTTACAGTATCAATTGGATGCATCATTCCTTCACCAAAAGCACCAGCAATAGCTCCCCATAGAAACTCCCTCCACACTACACCAAAACACCAACTCTCAAATCGATAAAAAAAAAGTAATCCTGGAACTTCATATAAAGCCTATCTCGTTTTTGAAGATCAGCTGCTCACCGAAGAACTGCTTGTTAGTCGTTCTAGTGTTGAAATGAGGGCTGGAAGCTTTTGATTCTTTGGAGAGACTGTCGGGGACCGCCATGGATGGATTGGAATATGCAGTAGAGAAGAGTTCGGGTGGTTTAGCTCCGACTAGGGTTTAGAGAGAGATGGTCCACCGACTTTTGGGAGCGAACAGGAAATAATGGTAAGGGTTGGAAGGATAAATTTATTATTTTTTGTATTGACTATTTGTTTGGTTTAAAAAATATGGATAAATGCCACTTATATTTTTGGGTTAATTGCAAGTTATACCTTGAAAGATAATTTCAATTTCAATTTAGACTCTTAACGATCAAAAATTTTAATTTATATCCTCAAAGATAGAAATTTATATCAATGCGTACCCCCAAAAATAAAAAATCTTAATTTATACCCTAAAAGATAGAATTTGTATCAATATGCACCCTCAAAAATAAAAAATCTTAATTTGTACCCTCAAATATAGAAATTTGTATCAAGGTGCACCTAAACCTAAATTTGATAATTTATACCTAGATCTCCTCATGTTTGTTATTTAATTATTTGGACCCTTTCACATTTAGCATATTACTCCTGCATCTCATGACTTTTATGCACGTGTAACACGTAACCCCTTTTTGTTGATATCGGTTAATATAACCTTTAAAAAATATGATTTTATCCTAATAAAAAATTATAATTTCATATTACTCTTTATTTTATGGGTCCGATATAATCTAAAGTTTAAAATCACTCTTATCATTTGAATGTCCAATAGAATGTAGATATTTATATAATATTTTTTATATTCAATGCAATATATCACTCAATATGCAAATATTTTTTAACGGTTATATTAATAGATATCAACGAAAATGAGTTGCGTGTTACACATGAACGAACGTCGTGAGATGTAAGAGTAATATTCTAAATGTGAAGGGGTCCAAATGATTAAATGACAAGTATAAGAGGATTTAGGTATAATTTATCAATTTAATTTTAGGTGCATATTAATATAAATTTTTATTTTTATGGGTGTAAATTAAAATTTTTTATCTTTAGGAGTACACGTTAATATAAATTTCTATCTTTGAAGGTACAAATTAAAATTTTTGATATTTAAGGGTGCACATTGATACAAATTTTTATCTTTGAGAGTGTAAATTGTGATTCAAACGGTCTTTCAAGATGTAATTTGCAATTAATTCTATATTTTTTAGGATAAATTACATTAAGACCTTCTTAAGTTTGTCACTAAATCTCACACATCCCCTCAGGTATGAGAAATTACACTGACGCCTCCTATCAGTAACAGCCAGCTAATAGACCTAACGAAATCTACAAAATGACTATGCTACCCTCAGATAAAAATCAAATGAAAGAAACCTAACCCAAACCCAATTGACTTGACCCGACCCGGCAACTTATCCTCCCTCTTCCTTCTCTACACTATTGTAAACCCTATTTCTATTTAATAACCACCACCGATTGCCACCAATTAAACCTTATTATCATCCCCAGCCCTCTAGAACCCATCATCCCCTTATACCCACTACAACCCCCAAAGTCCGCTAATCCCAGTCCCTCCATGCTGCGACATTTCTTAAACAACACTCACTCCTGCAATACCACGATTGTTATGAAACAAGTGATACATCACGTTGTTGCTCAACCCCTGGCCAAATGATTCTTGACCCATAAATCATTAGATCGGTTGTGTTTACCAGTAGATCTTGTTTTTCCTTCGACAACCTGGTGAATGTATGTCTTGAGAGAAGAAAAGTTATGGGTGGTGGTTATGTGTATATAAGTTTGTTGGCAGAGAGAGAGAGAGAGGTGTTGTGGTGGAGAGAAGTGTTCTAATGTGTGGTTATGGGTCATTGACGGTAGTGGTGGTGGTTGGTTGGTGGGGCAGTGGCATGTGGCAAAGATAGGTTTAAAGACAGTGGTTTTGAATGAAGTTGGCGGTGGTCGACGGTGCTTTGGGGGTGGAGGCGGCCTTGTTTGTAGTGTGGTTGAATCGGTGATGGATATGGGTGGGGATGATTATCTCGGTTTTATTTGGTTAATTAGCTTTGATAAGCGGATTTAATGTGTTAATTAAGGTTCAATTACCTAATTAATGGGTCTAATTTGTTAGGTTAATTAGATTGATAAATTGGAGGTAGTTATGTGGTGTTTGATAAACCTGAAAATTGAAGTCTGAAAGTTAAAGTCTAAAGGCTGAATGTTAAATTTGTTGACCGTTTGGTATTCACTCAAATTTAAATATTGAATTAAACTAAATTATTTGATAACTACACAGAGTTGACGTTTGAAAATAAATTAATTTTTAGTTTTATTCTTTTACTATTTAATTTGAAAATACTTATAAAATATGTCATAACATAAATCATAATCACTATTATTATATTGTAGTTAAGGTTGTCAAAATTTGACACGATACAATTAATCGACACGAATCAATACTAATTAAGCGGGTTTGGGTAAAATCTTAACGGGTTTGGGTGATAAACGGGTTATATTCGGGTGAGACTTATCAAACAGTTTATCACACATTTACTCGTTTAAATAAATTTAATATAATAATAAATTAATAATTATTTTAAAAAATTAGCAGAAAAAAAAAAGTAAATAAATCAATAAAAAAAAGAAGTAAAGTAGTAATTCAAAGATAAAAGAGAGAAGATGAGAAGCACTTCAAAGACAAAGGCAAATCAATGTCTTTTGTTTTTGTCTCAAATTGGAAAATGAGGAGAGATGGGGAGGGTTAAGTTGCTTATAAAAAACAATGGTCTTTTGCTTTTTTTTTTAAGCCTTCACGCCTTTTTTTTATGAGATTTGACTAAAAATTCTTTTTTTTTGAGGTAAATGCAATTGGCAATAAAAAAAAATTGAGTATTAAAATTTGTTAATATACTTTTTTTAAAATTAAATGGGTTAAACTAGTCGTGTTGTATTACTCGTTTATTAAACGAGTCATGTTTGTGTTGAGATTTTTTACCTGTTTATTAAACATGTCGTGTACGAATTTATATATTTTTTACCCGTCATCTGTTTAACCCAACACGTAACTGTTTAACCCGACACGTTTGACACTCCTAATTGTAGTCTACCTTTAACAACTATTTGATCAAAATAAAATAAATAACATCTGAATAATACAATAAGTGAACAATAACATCTGATAGAAAACAAAAAGAACAATAACTAATAAATAATCAAATAATCAAATAATATTGAAAAAATACAGTAATTCAAATTTCATTAACAATATGTGTATACATCGTGTGTGTGTGTGTGTGTGTGTGTGTAAGTATGTGTGTGTGTAATGCATATGTCTCTGTGTAATAGTGTGTGTATTTGTGTGTGTAATTATAATTATGTATGTATATTTTTGTTATAGAAGACAAGGGAAAAGAAAAAAAAAAAGATCGACAAAGAGAATATATAGGTTAGGGGTTTTGAAAAGATGACTAATTAGAGTTTTAATAAGATTTTAAAATATTTCGGGGTATAATATTCATATTGTAAATATTATTAAATATAATTTTGCTGAGCACTTTTTCGCTTTCAGAATTAAGTAAGAGATCTTCTACTTAATATTGTAGCCTATTTTTAAAGAGCACTTAACATATTAAGGGAGTTTAAATTTTGGTTATCAAACGCCTTAATTAATAAGTGTCGAATATATTCATTTTAAATGTTGAATTTGGGTTAATAAACACACCCTCAGTTAATGGCTTAATAAACGAGTTTAATTTTGTAAGTTTACTAAATGAATAACTAAGAGTCAATTACTCAATTAATGGGGTTAATTAGCTCAACTAATGGATTTAATTTGTCAAATCAACTTAACTAAATTTTATGAGATTAGTTGCTTATTTTTTTGAAAGGGGTTTTCCATACTTAAATTAGCTTGACAAAACAATGAAGTTAATTACTTTATTTTGTTTTTGTTTTTGTTTTTAAGTTAGCTAACTTGATTAATGGGTTAATTACTAGAATTAATGCAACTACTTATATGAAATTAATAAAATAGATGATGTCAATTTAGTGTGGTTAATTGTTTAATTAATGGGTTGGGGTTTTACGAAAATTTAAAAATTATGTAGGTGTTTTTTGGCTATAGTTCAGTTTATAGTGGTAGAGCTTGAATGGGTAGTTTGGGAATTTTGGGTTTAAAATATGTTAATGTCATTAAAGTTGGATGACTTCTCAACGAATGTTAACAGTTTGGGGGCGCTAGGTATTATATGAAACCAAACCTGAAGAGAGTACGAAGAGCATCTATCTATCTATGTGATCTGGTGACAAATTTCAAGGTCTCAATATAATTTATCCTAATTTTTATTTTAAATTACCTCCATAATTTTTAATTTTTTTAATTTATTCACCAACACCTGCTTCTATTAAAATCAGCCTTTTTATAAAAAATTATAAAGACTAACATGTCTTTTTATATTTAAATATATAAATTATCATTATATTCCTCTATATTTAAATAACAAATTGACCTCTAATATATCATATAAATCTCTATCTTTGCAAAATATTTCAATGATCATGTTACTCTTAATAGGATATAAAAAAACGTTATTCTTTTTTTCCAAAACCTCAATATTAATACACATAGACAATTTTATTGAAACAATATTATTTTGGGTCCCAAAAAATCGATATATGTATCTTTTTATCTTTATCCACAATATAAATAATATAAATATGATAAATATGAGATAATATCTAATTTAATTATATAATTAAATTTTTATATATTTTATCAAATATTTTAACGAAAACTTTCACGTGCAACGCCCGTGTTGCATTGTTAATTAGATTTAATCTCAACATGTACTAGCACATGACAACTGCGGGGGGTATTGTCGAGCCATCAAATTCTATGTAAAGTTGGTGTCAATTTTTCCTCCCATTTTTCTAATGCTCTGTTACCTGGATTTCATTCCAAATGACTGGATATTGCGAGAAATGCAACAATGGAGGCGAGAAACACAAGAGAAATGGAGTTAAAAGCAGCGTTATCAAAACCGAATCGAATCTACTGATCAAACCAGTGAACCA